GCGTGCGGGCGGCCGTCAGGGCGGCGTTCCCCCCGCCGCTGCAGGTCCCTTCCCCCCGCACCTCCAGCGCGCAGGCTGCCCGCCCCAGCCCCGCGCACCTCACACCTCCTCCTCCTGCCCCCCCAGGGGGAGCCTGCGGAGCCCCTGCAGCCCCGGCTGGAGCTGCGGGGTGCGCGGAGAAGAGCGAGGCAGCTCCCAGCCTTCGGAGCTGCCTGGCGGCTCCCCCGGCCAACGAGGGAGAAAGGCAATGCTGAATCATCGGCCAGGCTGCTTTCCCTGGCCCCGCTCCACAGGTGGCCAGAGCCAAGACACAGTCTGCCCGGGACGCTGCAACCCGATCTGGCTCTGAGCTGGCTCCTCTCCGCACCTTTTGGACACCAGCGCAGCCGCGCACTTGCCTGCACCTGGGTCGGTAAGGGAGCGCACTGCCTTTCCTGCCAGCTCTCCCGGCTGCAGTGAAGGCAGGCGGTCTCTCTCTGTGCATCTGAATATACAACAGTAAACTTCGGGTACAGTTCGCTGGTTTTGGTGTTCCTTTCTGCTCCCTCCACTCCCCAAAGCAATGCAGAAATAAATTTCTGCAGCTGCAGTTTTGAGCCTTTTATATTTCTACAGTGACGTGCTAGAACTGGCATTACATGCTTAAACATGGGTTCTAGCACAAGCTGGAGGAGATGAATGCCTTGGAGAGGAGCCAGCAATTGGTTAATGGAAAGGGAGACCCTGGAAGAAAACAAGAGGGAGTATGGCCTTGGAGTTAACAAAGTTTTACTAGGGTAGCTTATTGGTGGGCAATATAAAAGGCTAAGGAACAGAATTACTTACCTGTTTGTAATTAAGTTAGGTCCTTGTGCAAAGATTTATTTCTGATTATTATGTGGCTTGGGTCTCTTTGGCTTAGAGGGAAAAGAAGTGTTATTCTACACTAATGAAGCTAATCTGTGACTGAAATTTGGACTCTAGCCAAATGTAAGTGAGATTGAAACTCAGAGGCTTAGAAAACTGTAATTTTATTTTGTGGAGTGTTTTTGCAAAGAATCAAGTGTTATTTTGCTAAGCTTCCTCCCAAAAGAGTCAAGGAAAGACACAAAGCCAAAGTCAGCATTAACCTCCAGCCTGTGATGAGCATGATCAAGCTGCATCTGTTCCTCCAGCTTTACAGGTCTTAAAAGGAGGCTGATTTCTTATTACCTAACTGCAGAGGACCATTCCCGCTCACTAGCTACAAAGATGTGAAAGGAACTTAAATAGATATGTGACCATAACTGA